GGGGAGGGGGGAGAGAGAGATTAAGGATCGTTCGTCGAAGCAAAATAACTTGCGTCAGATGTCTGTGAATTTGAAATTATCTATATTCGTTAACTAACATCTTATTGTGTTTGCACAATTAATCATCGTTACTTATGAGTGCTGATACACGATGCTGAATATTTTAAAAGTATATATTTGCAAAGTACTTTCAAAAATGTTTTTCGTTGGTCCGAAATACTTTATCTGTGAAAAATTATCAAAGCGTGTGAATCTAACATATATATATATTTTTTTTTTTGTTCTTGTTTTTTTTTGAAAATCATGGACCAAATCAGTAAATGTAATAATTATTACCACTTATTGTTTGTATCATTACGAAAGAAATTTCGAAAGTGCTACACGGCGCGATAATGGAGAGAATACAAATAGGTTTGTTTACATTAGAATTTCGTTTGGTTAGCAATGAGGACACTTTCCTTGAGCTTTCACGGTTTTATTGTACCAGTGCCAGTTGCGACAAACTAAACGTATGCAACGATTGAAATTCACATTTCCAGTTGACAAACTATAAATTATTTAAGATGATAAAAAATAACGTTATATAAAAATAAATTTCTTAATTTATTGTATATATTTATACTTAACATTATGAAACTTGAATTGTCTCATTATTTGTCAGATGCAAAGGTATTTATTAACATGTGCTAAAAATTAATCTCTTTTTGAAGCAACATGTAGTTCGAAAAATAACTCTATATTTATTCTTGCCTCGAATGTGTTTGCATCTAAGAGAGCATAATGTTTACTACACATTTATCATTTTTTTCGTTTAAAACAACGCGTGTTTGGGACACAAACGATCGCATTATACGCAACTATATTGCCCGAGAGGGATCATGAATAGAGGCGAAGATAAAATATATATATAAAAGGAAAGAGAGAGAGAGAGAGAGAGAGAGAGAGAGAGAGAGAGAGAAAAGACGCGGGATTCGCCGTCTTCTTTTGTGAGCATGCAGTCATGTATATATCTTGAAACTATGCGCGCGTAAATTGCATAATGCAAATCAGCGTCGTTCCGGCCGAAAGCTCAGCGGGGGGAAAAAAGAGATCCATCAAAATTCATGGCTGCCGCCGGTGGATAGCGGAGCTTTCTCGTGTAAGCGCAACAACTGCATTTCTTCCAACTGCATTTTTCGGCGAGCTCTGCAGCCCGGATCGCCGCGCTGGGAATTCTCGGCATCGAATGGACCGAGGCACTTCCTCGCGCCCATTCCTCGTGTATTCTCCCTGGGCAACAAAGTTTTATCCGTCGTCGCCGAGAGCTCGCGTTCGCACGCGTCTGGAGATGCCATTTCTCTCGATGTACGCTTTTCTTCTTTGTCACAGACGCGGAGAAGCGCAGCTCGGAGCAGCGGGTGAGATGCATTTATTCATGTTTCGTCGCTTCTCCTTCATCGTGCTTCAAGGCACGCTATCACGGGGACCATAAATGCTCTGCGCTTTTCTCGCGTATTTCTCATGTATTTCGCTCGTTCGCGAACACAAGTGCTTGCTCATGTTCGTGGTTAAACAAATCTGATCGCTTTATGATCCGCCAGTAGGTAGATATGTAGGGTATTTTCCGCTTTCGATCGGTGAATATATATACCACGTTGCGACCACCGTACACAAAATCCACTGTAATTCGGTGTAATTTATTCTGGCGTAATTTATTTCGGTTATACGTATAGTACGATTAGTGTAATCTTTTCTGTGGGACGCTCGACGTAAATGAACGTATTTTATTTAAGGCAAATAAACAGGTTTATTGTTGGATATAAAAGCACAGATCTGTGTGTGTGTGTGTACGTTTCAATCGATGAAACGCTGCCGATGCGCGCTGTTTAATAGAAATGTTCTTGATATGGGGAAATTTAAATGATCCCTTTCACGAGATTAATTTTAATTT